AGCAGAAAATAATGATGCCATAACATCTACTTCACAGGTCCTGTATTTTTTAACCAAATGAAGAATTTCAGTACACATATACCCCGGTAGTGTGCTTTGAGCTCATGTTAAATCTCCTTAACTATACATAGCATGTTCTAGAATTATTATCTACACATCAGTAAAAATGCAACATGCTGTAATGAATTGGTATTCTTTCATCATTAATCAAACTTGAATCCATCGATGTACAGAATGCAGTTTCATAGATATGAACACAATATTATGCCATTTAAAATACCTAACACTGTTTGTAGTTAATATACTAAATACTTCCCCCAATATTTAATTATAATCTATCTCCATCTTTCATTGTTCACTTAGGAAACAAACATTTTTGTCCTTTTTAGGTTGGATACATGCAGTATTTACACCGGTGGATACAATGGTATTTGGTGGAAATTTCTTACACCATTATGACATAGGATTACAAATACAGTGAGTACAGGTTATTTACATCATTTTCATTAATGTTGAGTCATACTGTGTTGTTTTCGCCAGCATGAGATGCATTTCAATCATATATATGTATTGACACCCCTGAGGGTTTTTTGTTCCTCCTCTGTGGTTCTCATTGTTCATCATAGAGATGTATAATTTTTGTTATTTTCAGAATTCATGAATTGGAAAAACGTGTAAAGACACCAGAAAGATTTCAATTTCCATGGTTTGAGACAACTATGTGGTATGCTGCCAAACACTTTCAAGAATTATTCAAAGGTAAAAATGCCCTCCTCATTACAATCTATATATCGAGAATGTGAAAAAAAACATGTCTCTATGCCAGCAATTAAATGTAATATTTATATTCAAGCTGTATTTTTGACTGTATTTGTTAGAAATGATTGTTTCAACTCAATAGTTTTGTTCTTACTGAAATCGTGATCATACCATCTGATACAAAAATGCAGTGCTGGGTTCACTCTACATTAACAAGTGTCTGCATTTCCAATCTTTCTCCTACATGCCCTGCAAACATTAATATTGATAATATTTGATTGCATGATAGTTATGAATATGTGTTTATATCTGAATGTTGCATCTGACAGATTATCGAGATGATGAAAAGAAGCCGCCAGCATATCTCTTAAAAGGTGTTAAATCACTGTGCACTGCCCTCAGAAGCTGGACAATGAAAAAAGAGGTTTGTATATAGTCTCTATCTCCATTTTGATTTGTTTTCCTCATTTCATTTTTAGTTCACACATTGTTAATACCCCAGCTGCCTCCGTCTGTTTTTTTTTCTGAAATTGGACATGGCGCATTGATTGGTCACATTTTTAATGAGTCAATTATTTATACCTCATTCAAACGCCCTTATTTGTATAAGTTACCAGAAGTAAACAAAATCTCAATTGGCACCATCGCCAAGCAAGTCTCACAAATAGGGAACTTCGTGTCTGCATTAAATCAAATCCTTTAATAACTTTCTGTACTATATTTCACTTGATTATACCACACAATGAGCGAAAATTTTAACATTGGCAGGGTGGAAAATTAGTTTGTTTTGAGAAATACTTCACCATTTGGTGGAAGTTCGTGGCGGAGTTAATGCACCTCGTTTGACTCTTTAAGTCGGATACTTACAATGGTTGATGAATGTGTCAGGATATCACACCATTTCAAGAGAGTTTGCATCATTTTCTAAAAAGTTTCAAGTTGTCCCTATTACCTCAGCAAAGGCGTGACAACAAGTTTTCATTGTAATTCCAGCCAAAGTGGGAAGTTGTTCAGCATACCGGGGTACATGATATATGACTTAGTATCGTGGTTGTTTCAGTTTAGTTTGAATAAATTTATGCTGGACTTTAGAAGTTGACCAGACACACACAATCTGCATAAACATATGCAACAGTAGTAATACTGATCTTCCTGGGAGTTTGTTCCGATAACGTAGTACATCTGTTGGGAGTCTCCATTTCAGAGTGTGCATTGCTCCTGCGATCACATGAAAATTAAAATGCAATATTTGATGCAATCACTGACAAAATTCATTTGTTTCTCGTTGTTTGTTTGGGTATGAAAAAACATCTCATCACGATAAAGGTGCAAGTAAATAATATTTTACTCAAACACTTTTAGACTTAAACAACGAAAAGACTTGTACATAGATTTACTCTATAGAGCAAACTGAAATACAATTACAGCAAACACCTACATGATTCTGCAACATTGAATCACCCACCAGTTGACTATGAATACGGACATGTAATTTATTAATTATTCAAGTGGGTGACCTTTGGTACTGACATCATGTCTTACATGATTGGATGTTTTTACAAAGGCTAAAGGTCGAGATTATGCAAATTTATAGTGGGTTGAACAGGACCATATAGCAAATGTTCTGAAGTTTATTTTTCGGTAGCGAAATAGAAAAAAAACAGACAGAGGTAGCTGGGGTAACATTGCTTATTGCAATTGGTAATACTGCTGCTTGCACTAAAATAAATAAATATCAATTTTTCAGCTTGGCTGTCCACATGATTCATTTTGTATGTACTGCTTTTAAAGTAAGGTGACTGCTGATGACATGTGTTCTAATGATTGTTTACTGTGTGGATGAAGATGTTACGTTATTACTTGCATGATTTACATACAGAGTCAGTCTTACTACCACATTTAAATAACCCTCTCGGATCCTTGCATGTGTTAAATATTTTTAATATCTACCCCTCCCCCCAAAAAACAAATAAACACACACATATGTAGTTCTGTTACTTTCACTGCTATTTACACAAACACTACTTAAATCATAGCTAACATTTGGATTTGAGATGATGAAAGTAACTGTTCTTCATTATTGTTTTTTTTTTCCTTTTATTTCTAATTATTGACTACATGATCATCTGACAGCCAAAAGATCTGACTATTGTAAGTCATGTTCATGTTATTAACTTGTGCAATATTAATCATGGTTAATGCACAGGCTAGCAGGCTGGCAGGCAGGCGTTGTGTAACTTTAGGGCTGGCCGCTTAGTTAACCTTTTGGGAAATAATGGCAACATCGTCTCCTCGCATCTCTACAGTGTTTTATTTTTTCTTTCTGTTACACTGCCCTATTTTGGGGTGTTAAGACTTGCTGTATATATAGAGCTATGCATTTAAAACACTTTCGCTGTGTACAGTGCTGTCAGTTTTTGTTTTTTTAGTTTCCCATTTTCTACCATCCTTCATCTTATCTGGATTTTTAGTTTCTTCAGTCCTGTTTCTAGTTGTCGCATCAGGATTTGGTTTACATTCGTCTTCACTTCACTACATCTTAACTGACTGTGTTGCCCTTAATCTTCCCTATGTATTGCATTTTGTCATGTTACTTAGGCTATTCAAGTTTAGATTTCCTTTCTTCATCTCTCTTGATTATATTCTCATCATGTGTTTCTCATTTCAGTATTTGAAACAACGTCAACATGAAATTCCAGAGACAATCAATTATAGCTCGTTAATCAAAGAGCTCAGTAAAGAATTGAAGCAGTTTGATGTAAGTATTTCAACATTTGATTATCTGTTTTGTAGAGTGTCTGGGTAAGCTCAAATACAAAATAACTGAGAGTTTTTACGCTTTAGCTTCTGACATTTTTATTACATTCTCCATCCATGTATGATATCATCCCCATATTCAACATAGCCAGTTTTATTATGTATGGCAAAATATTTCAAAAATTTGTGCACACTAAAACAAATTAACCCTTTTTCAGCCCCAAATAAAATCCCCTTGTTTTTAGTCCCCATTCGGACACAATCCGAAAACGGGGACTTATGGATTGACCTTTGTGTGTGCGTCCATGCATCCATTCGTGCACCCGGACCTATATCTTAGACATGCCTGGACTAATTAAATTCAAATTTCAAACACGCATCATACATAATATTATACATATGTACATCAATGGATTTAT